AAAGAGATTATCGCTGTTTCACATCTGAAAATGTAAAAAAATGCTTGTTACAACAATATCTGATTTTCTCTCTTTTTTTTAATCCTCTTTGGTGATGTCATGCCTTTTCTTTTTCCTTCCCCCTCAGATTTGGATCACACAGCGGATGTGCAGTAAGTATGGGCAGCTGGGGCTTCCCAGTGTGACAGATCGGTCATTTCTTACACTGCTTTCAGTCTGGAGTAACTGTCGAAGACTGGTTGCAGATGTACCCCTTATGGAACTACGAAATGTCACACACTGGGTTTTTTGATGGTCAGTTTTGTTGCTGCTCTTGGGAGAACATAGAATCACGTTTGGTTTTTCTTCTAATGTAGTATTGCTGTGGTGCTTCTGATTAAGATTCTGTTGTTTGCAAATGTCTTTTGAAATCTCCTTTTAATCTCTTCCTCTTAAACCAAATGTCCTCTGAGTAGTTCACTTTTATAGACATCAATTAACCACATTAGGAAGGAACTTTCCTATTGTCTGCTAAAACACTCATGTTTCATATTCTCCCAGTAAATTCTTTTCACAAACCTGAAGAAGTAGTTTTGTTCATTCACTTCATCCACATTAATTCTCATGTTCTGATCGTTCACCTGCATATTTGGGAGTCTTTTTTATTTTTTTCCTTTTGTTACCATCTAGTAAATTATCCCGTGTCTTTTTAGGCTGCACGCCTGGGGGGACACTTTGGAAGAAGCCTTTGAGCAGTGTGCTATGGCCATGTTTGGCTACATGACTGATACTGAGACCGTGGAACCTGTGGATACGGTCGAGGTCGAGGCAGAAGGTAAGGCTGCGCTGAGTTTTTATATCGGAATTGTGTCAACCCTGAGGGAGAAGGGTACCAACAATTTGAATCTTTACATGTAGCATTATTGAAGTTAATTAAAATCTAATTAAGTAACAGTAATCTGAAGAGTGCAGAAGCTGTACATTTGCTGTAGTCCGAAAAACATTGGGGTGTTCTTGCTGAGACAATCAGCTGACTGTCTTCTTTGCTTCAACCATGCAGGACACGACATGTTGTCTCTTCTCTTTCACTTCTTGGATGAGTGGCTGTATAAATTCAGTGCTAATGAGTTCTTTATACCCAGGGTAAGTGCTCGGTTTTGATCTCTTTCCATTTGGAGGTTGAGGCTATTCTCTGATAATACCAGCTCTGAATGAAAAGTCGCTTTAGGAATAAAAGACACGACAGATCACTTAAGCACAGCAGTGGAGACTTGAAAACACCGGGGCAGAAAGACTCAAGAAACAAATTGTTAAACTTTGTTACCACAAACACCAATTATTAGTTGATGTTATGTGGTAGGAGCAGCTCTCTTGCCTTCGTGTTCCAAGTAGCTTTGAAGCTGCTCATTCTCTGGCTTTAGATTCCATCTAAACAATGGAGTAAAACCCTTGTAAATGTAATGAGAATTTCTGCCTGAACAGACTGACGTATTTTTGTTACTGACATCCTTCTCTTGCTTTCTCTGCAGGAGGTGAAAGTGGTTTCCATTGACCGAATGCAATTCAAAATAAGATCAATTGGGTGAGCTTAAATGATCAGTTGAGTAACAATTATCTTTACTGAAAACACACCTACTGCCTTCAGAGTAACCACCTGGAATATCACGATGTGTTGGAGTTCACTAATGTGTTCTAAGAAGTGCATTGTGGACTTCTTTTTTCTTCCTTTGAGGCTTTAAATGAAAATGTCACTGTCCTATGCTCGCCAGTGAAACTAATTATAACATTTAGTAGGTATTGCCAATATTCTAACCACCTTTCTCCTTTTTGCCTTTAAAGGTGGGGAGAAGAGTTCACGTTATCCAAACACCCTCAGGTATGCAGTGCTTCACCTGTGCATCTACAGTCTAGGGACAGGATGGGGGATGTGGTGTCTTTTAAATCAGACCTCCAAGTTCTCAAGAGATCCAAGTGTAAACACATGAGTGGAGTCACAGGCACTAAACTTAAGATGTCACTTTCATGAACTGCTACAAAGGGTTGTGATTTAGAAAATCTGTGCTTTTGTATCTTTTCTCTCTAGGGCACGGAGGTCAAAGCCATAACTTACTCGGCAATGCAGATCTGTGAAGACGAAAAGCCAGAAGTATTTGTCATCATTGATATTTAAAGCGAGAACAGTGTGGTCGAGTGGATACTTGTCACTGGCTGGCAAAAGTCCCTTGAAAACTGTAATCCCCGTGGAAGTAACTAAGGAACTGACCAATTCAAGTCATAAATTGAAAGGAGTGATTGTGGGGAGTGTCAGCCTGTGTTTTGACTGGAGGATGGTGAGATGGAAAAATACCTGCATGCCAGGGTGAAAACAGGACTAGCTGGGGTTTTGGGGGATGTTGAGAAGAAGAGGGAGAGCTGTGGAGGCTGAAGGTCTCTCAGGAATGCTACTAGTCAGCTGTTAGGGCTGATATTTGTGTTAGGTGCTATATGAACTAAACAGAGAAATTAGCAGAGCTGGTAGCTAAAATAGTATCTTTATTGCAGGGTGGCAGGAGATGACATTAATGATTTCATTTGCAGATTTAAATATTGTAATTCTGAGGTGACATCCCTTTTCCGTGTTATATAAAAGGCCCAAAAATATCTGCAGGGGGTCGGATTTAATTCTGAAAAAAATCTAACTGTTCAAAGGACACCAAAGAAAGTACAATGAAAGAAACAACCACTGCACCTTCTCGATTACTTCTAAAAAAAAGTTATGCCAGCAGGTGGTGCTGAACTGCTGTAAATAAATTTCCCCATGAAATCCTAAAGCATGTGACCATGTGTATGGAATCGTAATAGCACCTATTAGGACTCTAAAAAGTAAAATCACTCCAAGAAGTAGAAGGGGATGCACCGGATTTTCTGCGGGTTCACTCCCAACTATGTCTTTTTAAAAAGGCGATTTGGATCAGCTTCCTTATCTTTCTTTAGAAAGGGCAATGAAGACAATCATTCCGTGTGAAATGATTATGAACTTCATTTCCCTGAATCAAAATCAATCAAAAATAATCCAGTGGTTTCTTAAATCGCAAATGTGCGTTGCCTGCCATTGCTATTTAAACATGAGAGGGGCGCTGTCAGGGATGGGCGCTGCTGGCCTGACCTTTTTTAATTGTAAATTCTACCTCTGGAGGTAGTGTCTCATCTTTTATTATGTTGTAAAGTCATCTTAAATAGATCTGGGTTTATTTCCATATTGTGAAGGCTGAGGGACAAAATTCCGCTTACTTTTCGAGAAAGCTTCCACGCTGAAAATAAACTTGGACTTAAAAAAACTGATGGATTTTTGCGTGAATCATTTTGGCCAGTGGATTTGTAATGCCAATTCATTACATTTGTACTTTTGTTCTCTTCTAAGGTGAGCAGTTTTTGTGTGAGTAAGAATGGTGATAGGCCTGTTCGATGGCACAAAAATAAGGATGATTTTCACAGGCTGGTTTTCTCCCCTCAGGCGCAGCCCGAGTGCTCTGGCTCCAGTGACGGGCGGGATGCGGAGCTGCTGTGGAGAAGAGGGAAGCCTGGGCTGGCGCTGCAGGAAATAAACAGCCTCCTCTGCCGGAGGGGTGAGACAGCAAATCGAGCTCACTGGGGGCTGAGAACCTTCCCCAGCGCTGCCGGGAGCGAGGTGAGGGCAGGTGGCCCGAGAGCTTTTGCCCAGCCCTCTAAAATGCGAGAAGAGGAATTGATGTAGTTAAACTTTTAACTTTGTCGACGTGGTGAAGTGCCCCTGTGTACGCCCTCAGTCGGGCTGTAGCAAAGTGCTCTGCTTTTGGAAATAACCACAGGAACCTGCTAGAAGAAAATTTGGAATTAAGTAAGTAAGTGTTAATAATCAATTTTTTTTCACTATTTATTAAGTACTCAATATAAAGCATGCCTTAAAGCCCCCTTGTTCCATTTCCACAGCTGTGGCAGTGACAAGTTTCATCTAGCAGCGTGTTCACTCAAGTCCTGTCCTCGCGGTCTGTTACAGGAGCCCCTTGGCTGGCTGGGGCCTCCCCCTGAGCTGGGGCCCACTGGGACAATCAACTGTGGTTAATTAAAAACATGCTTAAACTGCAAACCCTTCTTTCTTGCTCTTGGTTAAGCAAATTCTGTAGCGACTTAGCGTGCCTTGAAGCATCCTAAATTTACAAGAGCAGAAAAGCCTTTCTAAAGTAGCTCTGTGAGCTAAGTCCCAAGTGTCACGCTGAAGGAGACAGGAGTTTAAGGAAATCTTGCACCAGTCCTGAAAGAAAGTGGAAAAAACCTTACAACTGTACTTTCAACGATCGCACTTTTATTTCCTTGGAACCACGTTAGTGTATCTTCCTTTAAAATTCACAGTACAAAACCACTGCGTTATCTGAGGAGGCAAACTCACACTACCCGAGTGCACTACAGGTGCTCTGTTCGTTATTCCACTCTGCACGGCTGTGTGTATTCTTTAAAATTAACCATGCTTTTCGGAACTATAGGAAGCAGGAAGCTCACTCAGAAAACAAAGGTCTCGTAAATGGGTCGTTCTTCAGCAGG